TTTAAAAAAATTTTTATTAAATTTGATTAAATTATTGTTAAGTTATTTTTGTTCAAAGTTTTAAAAAAATTTACTTATAAAAAATTTGGTATATTTTTATTGACTCACCTCCATATCACTAGTGTTACACTCTCTTTAAAAATAAAAAACGTATGTACATATTTCAGGTCTAAAAAAATAAAAAAGTTTCCATTAAAGCATATAATTTAAAGAATTTATAATATGTAAAAATTTTCTTGCAAATAAATATGTTTTATAAATATCCTGTTCACTTACAAGTTCATGCCCAATTAATAAAGTTAACTTTTTTTCTGTAATATATTAAACTGACAATAAGAGAAATGAATTGGCAGGAATAAAACTCGTAGAATAAATTAGATAAAATACCACATGTAGAAGTTTAACCTTATAAGGCTTATTATTGCATATAATTTGTTTGTAAACAGACTACAAAGTGCTATACATTACGGGTTTGTACATACATATAAAAAAATAACCACATGTATATAATTTCTGTTAATGTATAAGATGTTAAAAAATCAGAATAACATATTAACAAATAAAAACAAACAAAATTACTTTGAAAAGTGGCATATCTTTAGAGGTTGGAAGTATAGACATAAGGTTTGTTATAAATGCAATCATTATTACAAAAAAGTAGCAGATAGAATATATAGGCAATGTGAATGTGAAAATTTTCTAAGAGAATCTCAAATAATTAATAAAATAAATCAGAATTGCGATTTGGTAAAATCTTGCACACCTCTTTAGGTATAACAATAAGTTTTTATTTTCTATTTTCTATATAACAAGAATTTGTTTACATAAGATATTTGTTAAAATAAATTTTGCTCTATAGTGAAACTTATTATTGAATAATAATTCATTCCATAATCAAAATTTCCATATATTGAATTATAACATCAACTTTGCAATTTATTAAACTTTCAACTAAAATATAATTTATATGTTGTAGGTATTGCATTATTATAAAGGAACAATAATACTATCATATATAATCAAAAAAAATTTGAAGATTCAGAAATTATGCATAAGTGATCTGTTGTACAACAATCTGATTATTTGTATAAACTATAAAAGGGTGAATGTATGACTCTTTTCCACTAAAAAAATTTTTTTAAACTTGCACAAGTTACAAATAGTACCACTTTTTGAATAACTATATCTAATAATATTCTTATTCTGTTAGTTGAAGAGATTCAACAACAATGGAAGTGACTACATGTTCTTGCATATTTACAGTCTAAACAAGAGGTGCTTGACCTTGATGATAAACATATAAAAGTTATTGAAGACAAAAAGGTAGCTGGTAGTGATCCTTGAGTTAGATGTGGAAAAGCTCATGAAATATGGTTTAAAAGGAGGTCTAGCAGAAAGAATTGCAAAACTAGTTAGAAACATTAAAGGTGATAATTAGAGTAAGTAGTATCATGACTGCATTTGAATATTCCAAACCTATACTGCTTTCTTTGTGTCTCATAAACTTATTGTCATTGTAAAATATGTTGCAACTAGAAAGCTTGGTATACTATTCAATATTTTACTGATCTGTTCTTTTTTCATATTTCTAACCCTCATTTCTTCAACCACAACTAGGTCTTGGATTTGCTTGCCTTCTATTATTTGTTTTCTCTGTGTCTTGCTTGAATTAAATACTAGCTATTAAGTATAAGAATTCTAGTAAAATGATTTGCTGCTATGTATATTGCTACTGGTGATATTTATAATTAATTAGGTTATTTTATCAGTATCAGACATATATTTTAGCCTTATAGATAGTATATTAAGTCCTTTAAAATAGGCTAAAGGTTGGACTAAAGATAGTAAACAAAAGAATGGAATTCTATTTCAATCACTGACCCACTAATGTTTCTGATATTCCAATTCAGTTTTACTATCAAATACAGTCGACCCTCTCAAAACCGATCCTGTCAAAACTGATAACCTGCCAAAACCAATAAAAAATTAGTCTACCAAGTCTGTTTCCATTATATAAATCTAATAGTTTGTTATGTTTTCAAATCCGATAGCCTCTCAAAACTGATACAAAACCTATTCACCATGTATACCAATTCTGAGAGGGTTAACTGTATTTGAAACATTTATCAACTTTGCAAGAAATTGTCAAATATCAGAGAAGGAATATGAACTTGTACTTGAACTTGCCTCTATAATGTCCAGTATATTTTCGGATAAAAGCCAGAGGGCAGATGCTTTCAGATGTTATTTTTTGATAATGAAATAGTAATTCGATCAGAAGAATCAAATAAAGCCCACCAAAGTTCATGAATTGGTGAATGAAGGACAGACAGAAATATATATCTAAAGATCAGTAGAGATAAAGTCCTTTTGGTAAACTTAAAAGTTAAACCTGAGCCTGGTACAAATGGCGATTGTCATATTCAGAATAATACTTACTACAAAGAATTTGTAATCAAGTCCTATAACTAGAAATTAGTTTTATAATAGAACTTGTTTGCCTGCTTTTCTTATCAATCTAGATAGTATATATATCTTTTAACACCCGATCACTATGCCTGCTATTGCTGATTTTAAATGCTCTCTAACTTCAAAAATAATAATACAGAACCAAATATATCAATATCCGGTGCTGTTTGTGCTCCTTTTATTGTTTGCGATCACCTTATAGACATTTATCTACTAGATATAATTACTTACGATAATGCTAAAGCAAATAATGTTGTATAAGTATTTCTGGCCTTAAAAAATTCTATACATCTATTAAAAGATTACTATAATTCTATTTATGAGTCAAAAGAAACCTCTTGCAATACTAGCCCTTGGTTTCCACATATCAATAAGATTGATTTAGAAGAAGAAACAGCTACTGTACCCAACTATGGGAGATACCTATTTAAATCCTCTAGCTCCATTTTTTTTTTTTTTTTTTTTCGGTATTAAGGTGACCTCCTTGGCCTGGAGACTTTTTATTAGTAATTATTAGTTATTACAGTTACAATGAAGATACAAC